AAGGGCTTTGTGCTTGCTAGGCAAGTGCTCTACCACGTAAGCCACACATCAGCCCCCTAAAATTTCTACAACTCTTACAGTTGACTTCCGTGGAACCCTTGGGAAATATGTCATATATAATATTATTCTATTTATTGATTTTTTTTGGTGGTACTGGGGTTTGAATTCAGGGCTTCCAGCTTGCTAGGCAGGTGCTCTACCACTTGAGCCACTCTAACAGTCTTTAAGGGAGGTTTGCAACAGTTCATTCAATACCGCAGAAATCTCAGTATCTATTCAGAAAATGAAGAATAGATTTCAGCTGTGGGAGGAAGAAAACCATCATTCATTCAAAAACATTTGGCTTTAAAATTTTGTAGTTAACAACCAAATTAACTTACCTCAATTGTTTTGAATGATTTAATTTTACTCTTAAGTAACTATTTGTAGTTAACATAAACGTAAGTTATTTCCATGATTGTTTTGGCAGTACCAGGGTTTGAACACAGGACCTTGTACTTGCTAGGCAGGTGCTCTACAATTTGAGCCATGTCCCTAATCCTTACGTTACTTTAGAATAAACACATGGAAAATAATATGATTCTTATAAGTTGAATTTTTTAATGAGGATTTATTCTTAAACATTTTTGAAAGCCCATTATTTGCTCTAAATGCTGAGGAAATAGAAACGACACGACAGAGAAGGTCCCTGCTCTCAAGGACTTACTTTAAGTACAGGGAAAACAGGAAACAAGCATATAGCTGGGTGTGGTGGGACAGTCCTGTAATCCCACCACTTAGATAGCTGAAGATTTCAAATTTGAGGCCAGCCTGGGCTACACAGTAAGATCATGTCTCAAAAAAAAAAGAGAAAAAAAGCGAGGAGGAGGAGGAAAAACTAGAACAGAAAAATGAGCATATAATGAAGCAAATGATTAGGATGTTGACATGGAAAGAGCAAGTTAGTGCATCATCTGATGGAGAGGGCATGGGGCTGCAGGGAAGGTGGTGCTGGGAGGGACAAAGCCAGTTTGGGCAGACAGTCTGCCTGAGAATGCGGACTTCTCCCAGGAGGGGGCGCTGAAATGCCAACAATGAGCCAGCCGTAAGACAATCTGGGATAGGAGTCGTCCCACCAGAAAACACTTGCAAATGGTGTCACCAGCCCCTCTCAGTATCTAATGACATAAAATGATGTGCTGAGTGACAGGGCTGAGCAATCCCTCATAAAAATTACATCTCCAGTCTTTGTATTTGAGTAATTTGGTACCGAACTCAATAGCTTCTAGATGTTTAAAAAGGGATGCTATTAGAAAGCATGAAATGTAAAAAACAAAAACAAAACCTCAAACCAAACCCATGGAGAATTAAAAGAGAATGATAATCACAAGAAAGTCCGTATTAAAAACACAGAGTGCTGGGGATGTAGCTCAGTGGTGGAGCACTCGCCTAGCATGTACAAGTAGGCTGGAGCCACAGAACCAAAGGATGAAAAAAAAAAAACTCACATATGAGTTTACATTTACATACCTCAATGGAGAATCATTGGAACTTTCCAGCAAATTTTAGCCACACACCAGAGGTTTTATTGGAAAAGATTAACATAGTGATAATTGAATTAGAAAACCTGATTTACACACTGGTGAACTTCCTTTTTTTTTTTTTGAGACAGGGTCTCACTATGTAGTCCTGGCTGGTCTCAAACTCGTGACCATCCCTGCCTCAGCCTCCTGAGTGCTTCCATTCCAGGCGTACATTACCACACCTGCCAGTATGGGACCATTTAGTACCAATAAAAAATTCACACTAGGTCATTCCCATTCTCTCTCTAGAGATAACCTGTTTTCAGTCTATTGAAAGTGTATTCCTTTCCTAACAAGCTTCACTATCACTTTCACTGCAAAAAACCAAATTCACTCTAGAGAAAAAGTTTTGTCGATTCCTATGATATTGATAAAATAAGCATAATAAGCTCCAGTGTGAAACAGTATGACAGGGTCAGCTTGAAAACTTGCCTTTGGTGATACTGACATTCCTTTGGCTGAAATGGTTCCAACCCAACCCCATTTTTATCATGACCATGATTCCCAACATGGCATTGAAGGTCCCCAAACCATTACCAGGCCTGACTTTTGTAACTATCCTGGCCAGTCCAAGCAGGTCTCCCTTGGACCAGGCAACATCTGATGTATGCAGACACAAAATGAATGCCATCAGGTGGCTACAGAGCCATGGCTCTGGGACGGAAAGGCAGTGGGTAGAATTTCGAGGCAGGGGTCTGGCATACAGAAGAAAGGAGGACAAGAACAATGTCTCAGCTGGGAACCAGAAAATATGAGTGGGAGAAATGAAAGAGGCACATTCCCAGATGGACCCATTTTATTTCTAAACATGGTTCCAAACAGAAATACACTTCCCCATCTCCACACTGGCTTTTCATTTTATGAAATGTATTTGCTCCTAAAATCCTTCATAAAACCTGCCTTCCCCTTTACAGAGGGAAATAGCAAAAAGTCAAAGGTTAAAAGGTCACGCATAGCATATTACAGCCACCAACAGAATTAATCACGTCTTAAATTCTTCAGAAATCAATGATAAAACATTAAGATTAATTTACACTTCACTGTATTTTACAGCACTTCAAGGTTTTTCTTCATATATTAATGTTCCTATTTCATAGACAACAATGGTATTACAAAAGATTATCAGCTTTTCCATAAAATGGGAAAACAAAAAAAGCTAAACTATTGATTAAAAGATCAATCTGTAGAGCACAAATGTATTTCATAAGAATAAAACCCAAAAAGAACAATAAAACTCAAGTATTTCATCCAAAACAGCGGTTGACCCCTTTATCCTTCACTCACTTTTCCTCTCACAGGGCTCTTTAGAAGTCCATAACTGTTGTCTGTAATTACTACAGAATCTGGCTCACAGTTCTGGAAGAAAGTATCATTTTAAGGAACACTGTACGTGTATTATATTTCTTCTTTCTTAGAGGTGGGCAAACTCGAAATAAGGTCACCTTAAAATGGCATCAGAAAAAACAGCCATGGACGGCAGGCATAACTCAGTGGCAGAACACGTGCCTAGCAGATGAGAACCCAAGTGCAATCTCCAGCAGCAAGAATAGAATTAGATGAAGGGGTGGCTGTCAGTACAACAGTGTTTTTTAATACCTTTATGGTTGGTTTCTCCCAACCTCGGTTAAAAATGAGCATGATGACCCAGGGGAGGTTTTGAAGCTGTTTGGGGTGAGACATAAAATCTGTTGGCTGTCTTGGTTTGTTTTTTTGGTGGTACTGGTTTGTGAACTCAGAGTCTTGTGCTTGCTAGGCAGGTGCTCTACCACTTGAGCCACACCCCCAACATTTTTCACTCTAGTTATTTTTTTAGATCGAGTCCCACATTTTTTGCCTGGGGCTGGCATCAGACCATGATCCTTCTGCCTTTGCCTCCCCTGTGGCTGAGACTGCAGATACGCACCACCATTCCCAGCTTGCTGACTGAGATGGAGTCTCACTAACTTTTTGGCAGGCTGACCTTGAAACACGATCCTTCAGAGCTCTACCTCCTGAGTAGCTAGGATTACAGACACAAGTCACTATGCTGGCCCCCAAATCTCATTTTTTTGAAATAAGTCTTTGATGATGCATGTGTCTGTGTGTATGGAATTATGACTTACCAAAACAAAACACCATAGAAGAGGCCGATACATTTGTCCAGTATGACAAAATGGTTGAAAGTCACTGCTGGAAGAGACCTCAAAGATCACATAATTCAGCTCTCTGATTTTAGAGAAAAGGGAAAAGAGGTCCAGAGATGGGACGTGACTCACCTAGGTACATTAATAAGGTGCTTATATGATTGTTTTTATATACACAGCACACAGAAATACACACACTGTTGGCATTACTCATTTTGTACATAAAACCCTATTGTATGCAAATTTTCATTTGTTAGCTCATTGCTGGAAGTGGGAAGTACCCACCATCCAAAGGCGTGAAAAGGGTCAACTTTCATTCCTCAGCTGTATCACTGCTCTCTGCAGCCCCTCAAAGTAGCATGGACTGGGGCAGAGGTAGGAAGGAGGGCAGGGTGCCCAACTCAAGTTAGAATTGGAGTTTCTTGGGATGCACAGGACTTCACTGGCAGTGAAGACCTTGCATGAGGGTAAGCGTGCGTTGGTGGAACTTTTAGACCTGGTTTGAAGTCACAAATGAAGGGTGTGAGAACCAAGTCCAATGTCTGCCCTTCACTCAGAAAGCAAGGCTCCTCTGACCCTCAGAGCAGCGAGCAGCGTGTGTCTTGTCTAAGAAGCTGAACTATAGGCTGAGTATCCCTTGTCTGAAATGCTTGGGATCGGAACTGTTCTGGATTAGGGATTTTTCTGGACTTTGGAATTTGTCCATGCATAAGGAGATATTTTGGAGGATGGGACACAAGCATTAAATAAGAAATTAATTTGTGTTTCTTATGCACTTTGTACACAGAATCTGGAGGGAGCTTTGGACAGTATTTTTAATATTTTTGTGCACAAAACAAACTTTTGGACTGTGCAATTTTCCACTTGTGGCATTTCATCAGTTTTGAAGTTTTGGATTTTGGATTAGGGACGTTGAACCTGCATAAACTTGGTGACTAGGTGCAGTCAGAGTTTCTAAATATTTTAACTTGTATATGCATATAAATATCAAAATATTTTGTCCTAATATAGTACTAATGATTACTATTTTATCTCTTTCCATAAAATTACATATGAATAGAACTCTAAGGTCATTTTTAAAAATATTATTTTTAATATTATAGATGGCTTTCAGAAAAATCCTGTCTAACTACATATCAACGTTCAATAACTTAAAAAATAAACAGTACATTATATTATACCAAAATAGTCCCATTTTAAAGCCATATAAGTGAAAAGGCTGAGTTTTCAAGAATGGACTAGACTTTCTAATTTTCATTATTTCAAACTAACATTAAATGTCTTTTATTCCTTAACTATACCAAACATATACACACTGCTCTTAGCAATTTATGTCAGAAGTATTTTTATGAAACAAGAAGTTGTTTCATTTGCCTTTTAACTTATTTCAAAATGGGAAAATTGTTCTAAATCTAAACAAATTTGTTCCCAAGAGATTTCCCCAAGGAGAAGACATAAGCAAACAATAGCGATGTACAGCTATCCAGTGCACACAGCCTAATATTTCCTCATACTTGTCATAGAAAGCAACTTTCAAGGATCATTTTAACCCAACTGGATGTATAGATAGCTCTCTCTTAAAATTAACACTACAGGGGAGGAAAGTCTCTCGATTTTCAAATATAAATAATTTGTCTTGCTAGAAAGGCTTTGTTGAAATTCCCATAGGACAGAAAACCATCCACAAAGAATAGAGAGCACATGGTCCTCAGCACTGACCTGAAAGTGCACACACTTAACACTGCTTTGAACCCAAAGGAAACTCTAGCAAGAGGAAGAAGAGCTCACATTCATTGTCTCAACTCCTCAAAAGTCATTATCTCACAGCTGAAAAAAATCTCTTCTGAAAAGAAAATGTTGATGAAGGCAGGACCCGAGGCTACTTCCAGCTCCAGGTCCTAATTTCTGTAGCTGTGGGTATTCATAGCAGAGGGCTAAAGCAAAGAACAGAGAGAATGGCCCACTTTGGGGATCAACTCAGATGGTTTTGCACCTAAGTTAGTCAAACTCATTTTTAAAAATTAGATTATCATAAAGTGTGCAGGGGAGAGAGATTCCAAAACTCACAAGTCACAAGGGAGTGGTGGGGGGTGGTGGGGGGGAAGTAGATGACCTAAAAAGTACATATTTCCAAACCAGGAGCAGGAGGTCGAGAGGCTCAAGCCTTCTAGAAGTTCTACTTCTTTACAGGTTGTGATCCAGCCACTTCATGTAACTATTCCTAGTCCGGATCCCCACTGAGAAGTTGGTGGGCCAGCTCGTGAAAATCATGCACCCGTGGAAGCCATCCTCAAAGTGGTCAAGGGTCACCTCCACACCTGCGTTCTCCAGACGCTTGGCATACATGATCCCATCGTCCCTTAGGACGTCATGCTCACATGTCAGAATGTAGGTCTTTGGGAGGTGCAGGAGCACCTCCTGCTCTGCGATGAGTGGGGAAGACCGGGCATCCAGCAGCTGAGGGAGCTCCTGCACGATCTTGGTGTTGCCCGTGGTCTGCATAACAGGCTCGTAGTTCTTTGTGATGGATGCAGGCAAGAGGGACATCCAGTTCAGACGGGCCCTGAGGGCAGCAGCCTCTTCCACATCCAGTGCAGTGTGGTTGTTAACTAGCATTTCTGGCACAAAGTCATAGTTCCCTTTGAAGTAATCAACCCAGTACTTCGCCATGACATGGCGGGGCAGGATTGGCGTGTTCACATTTTGCTGATAAGAGGGGGTGTTAAAGTCTAAGGCTTGAAGGACCGGATAGATTAAAGCTTGCAGTTTGAGCTTATTTCTTAGGTTGGCATCTTGAGTAAACTAGAAAAGAGAAGGGCATAATTTCATTTTGTATGGACCTTTTTACAGAAGGTACACCCTAGAGAGCATCTTCACGCATTGCTTTCAATCAGTCAAAGGTGTAAGTGTTAAATTTCTACCAGGCATGAGATTAAGTAATGGTTATGGTTTGGAGCTATCATTTCCCCACAAAAGCTCACATGTCAAAGACCTGGTTGCTAGCTGATGGCTTTGGGAAAGTGACTGGATCATGAGGACTCTGTGGATCCATAATTTGATGGCATTATTGGGAGGTAGTGGAAACTTTTAAAGGTGAGACCTAATTGGAGGAAATAAGTCATGGGGGGGTGTGACCTGGAAATGTGTATCTTGTTCCATGAGCTTTCTTCCGCCATGCCCCCCACCCCAGGATGTTCTGCCTTGCCTTTGGCCCAAAGTAACAGATGACCATGGACTGAAACCTCCAAAACTAAGCCAAAATAAACCCTTCCTCCTTTGAGCTGGATTCTGTCAGGAATTTTGACATAGCAAGGAAAAGCTGGCTAATACACTAGTGTAGCTTAAAAAATAAATAATTCCCTATCACCACTACCTTACCAAGCTGCCAGATATTTTCTTTAAAATGTATATTGTCTGTGACTCGTATTTCTGAATGAACCCAGGGTACATGACCTGTGATGTCTTTAAACCCCATTAACACTTTATTCACATCTATCTTTTGGTACTTAATACACCTTGCTGAATGAATAATCTATGAATCTAACTTAATTTTTTATTTCCAAAAAGGCGAAGGCTTCCTAGGGAGAAAAAAAAAATGAGTCTTACTCTTCCAGAGAAGAAAGAAGAGCAGGAAAAGCTAAATGATAGATGATGGGACTCCAAAGTGTTTTACTAAGCATTTATTGTTCACGCTTGATAAGAGGATTTAAATAACATTGATGACACATCCTCCATTCTCCTTGATGAGCTTGTGCCAGACTGAGGCTGAGATGGGAATGAGGTGAATTGTGCTCCTCAACAGATCTCAGGTCACCATGGCTCTCTGGAGTGTGAATATATTGCCCTATTTTGTAATTCTAGTTTTAAAATTAAACATTTGTCATGAAACATTTTAAAGGAAGCTAAGTAGTTTACATGTTTCATAGGTAACTAAACAATCTTCAAGGTAATTTTAGCCATCCAATTTTGCTTAACTCCTTGACTTCAGAACCATCTCCATGAGGAGACTGAGGCAGGAGGATTGGGAGTTTGAGGCCAGCTTGGTTACATAGCAAGACCCTGTCTCAAAAGAAAAAAGAACCCCATCCTCAGGTAAGATGCAACTACCCAGCAAAGGTAAGAAGAAATGATCAGTAAATAATCCCATGTGCTAAGAATTCCATAAATGTCATTTCTCAATGTCTTTCTAATAGTTCTGCAATCAGATGACATTTTCCTGAGACTCAGGGACTAGACCTGCATCTCTGTATCTCTCAAAGCCAGGGTCTGGATTAGATCCTAGTTTTGTTTGGCTTTGAAGCCTCTCCACTACTCTCCTTACTGTACCTGGCTTTTCTTCTGACTGTGTGTAAACACAGGGGTGGCCAACTTGTGGATGCCATTTGGAGAATCAAGTTCTTTAATTATTATTAGTTAATAATTATTAATGAAGCAAAGGAGAACAAAATCAAGGTACATCATAAATAAAATGACAGGTCCTACTGAAAGATACCAAAAGAAATTTAGAGGTGGAAATAGAGAGCTGCTATTCTTAAATTACTTAATCCATGAGAGGAGGAAAATGTGCTTATCTATAAGTTTAATCAGATGCAAAAAAAAAAAAAAAAAGAAAAGGAAAAACCTTTAGGGGCTATTAGAGCTACATACAGTTTCCACAGAATGTAACCAGGTAAAACGTGGATCAAGTTGCAAATTTAACATCTATAATAACTGAACTATTTATTTTTCTTTTTGATACTAAAAGAAAAATTTGACAAACACTTTAATATTTTAATTTGTCTCAAAGTCCTACGAAAATACTCACAGGAACTGGAATTTAAGCAAAAATGCCCCATTTTGCAAGTCAAATAGGGGAAGAGCAAGAGATTCTGAATGTGCGGGCGTCTACCTGAGGCGCGAGGGTGCCCTCTACAGGATCAGCCTTGTCAACACTGACTGCAATTAGGGCTCCCAGGACTGAGACACGTCCTTCAAGGACTCAGCTTGAGTCCTTTTTACTTCAGAAAAGCCCTCTCAGAGCAATCCAAGTGCAGTCACAAACAACAGGGCTGTGTAGTGAGCGGCTCCCAGGACGATGGCCTCGCTCACGTCATCGCTCACGTCGTGGAAGATGTGCTGGTCTGTTGGACGTTATACCTCCTGCTACCACCAGCACTGCGGGGCAGTGCAGTTACCTGTTGTCCAAGGGCAGCAGCCAAATTCCCACCAGCGCTGTCACCAGAAATGCCAATTCTTCCTGGGTCAACTTTATACTTCTGGAGGACTTCTGGCCGCAGGAAATATTTTGTGGCACGTACAACATCATGAATTTGCTCAGGAAAATAAACCTGTGGAACCAGCCTGTATCTGCGAAGAGAAAAGTTGTATTCATTTCAGGGCTTCACCAAGCTTTTATAGGCCATTTAAAGTGTGAAGACAAAGCTGGTGGGATGGCTCACATGGTAGAGCACCTGTCAGGCAAGCGTGAGACCCTGCGTTCAAACCCTAGTACTATGAATAAATAAATAAACAAAGTGTGAAGACAAAAACTGATTCTCTTAAAGCCAGAAACAGATAAAGTAACTACAAAAAATACACATAAATAATTTATTTTCTTGTAAGAATAGGCTAATATGAATGATTTTGTATTAGCAAAAGCCTGTTTGTTTTAATCTCTTAGCCACCTCACAAAACAAAACAGACTCACCACCACCAACTCAAAAAGAAACCTTAATGAAGAGGCAGGTGCTGATTATCAGCATATGGATAGACCCATAATAGATTTTGGATGTTTATTTCTGGAAGTCCGTGATCCTTTCACAATGCCTGTGTGTTAGAAGGTGACTGGGCAGCACTGGCCACTCTCCTGATCTCACATTTAATAAGTCTCTGTGGTAATCTTCATAACTTATTTGGTAGGTATAATAAAGTTGTACTCCATTGAAGAGGTTCCAGCCACCCTGGCATTACACCCAAGTAATGCACATACTAGTTGGAAAATTGGAACTGAGAGGTCACGCTAAAACAGCAAAAGGAAAGCCAAGTTTGCATGTAGCCTTGTCCAGATCCTCTAGGACACTTTCTTTTTTAATTCATTTATTCACATGTGCATACATTGGGTCATTTCTCCCCTCTGCCTCTCTCCCCACCTCTAAGACACTTTCCACGATGGGAGTCCTTTGTGATCCTAGCCTTTAAAATTTTTAAGAACCTGGTTTCGTCAAATGCCTCATTCACAGCATTGCCCGTACATCCACATTTCAGTCTTGGTGTGAGTGCTCCCCCAGCCTCTGCCCTCCTCCCACACTGTTCACTTTCACTCATCCCTCAAGTCTTAGCTGGAGGGCTTGACTAACTCCACTTGCTACTGGAGCTGCGTTGGCTTTTCTAGGAATGCTTCGAAGTTTGTGCATGGTTGGGTATATCGTCATTCTTATTACTCATATTCAAAGTATTTCTCTTAGTTTCCTATGAAACTGTGGGTTTTGCTGATATGAGGAACTATACTCAATCATCATTGTGATTGCTTCTTGGTCTTTTGGTTAAGATCAAGAGAAGTGTTAGCCAGGCGTCAGTGGCTCATACTTATATTCCTAGGTACTCAGGAGGCAGAGATCAGGAGGATCAAGGTTCAAAGCCAGCCCAGGAAAATAGGTCTTGAGATCCTATCTCGAAAAAAACCATCATGAAAATAGGGCAGGTAGAGTGGCTCAAGGAGTAGGCCCTGAGTTCAAACAACAGCACCGCCAAAAAAAAGAGTAGTGTTATTGCTTCCAGTATTTGTGAATGGTCTATCTAATATGTAGTTTTTGAGTATTGATATATCCTCACTCTGCAAATAAAGAAACTGAGACACAGAAAACTTGCTTGATGTATAAAATAAATCACACATAGAACAAAATAAGGTAGTAGAGAAACTAACTGCCTAGTTAAAATTGAATAGCAAGACATTAAAAACTCGTATCTTTTGATAATGAGCTTAATTTTTTCTAACCTATCTTATGAGAGGCCCTTTCTTTCTTCTACCTAAAATCCAGCTATCTAATTAAAACAACTTGACATTCAGTGCAGATATAATGAAATGGGCAAATATTTGTGAAATACTTTGTTAAGTGGTGAATAGGGAACTGGTCGTTCAGGAATTATTACATTTTGAAACTAAATGCAATAAGAAATTCCCCTGGGTTGAGCATGATCAAAGTACATTATATACATGTATGGAAACATTGCAATGAAACCACTGACTTTGTACAATTAATATATGATGATAAAAAGAGAAATTCCCTTACTGGATGTTTTATAGAACATAAAATAAGCTTTCTAATTTATTTTTAGTTTTTCATCTTTGATGATAAATTAATGACTTTTCTACAGTTGATTTTCACTGTGTCTTAAAGCTGTTGCTACACTATTCTATTGGTTAATAATGGGCAGAAGAAGTAGGATTGTCCTATTTGTTTCACTAGGTGGCATTATCTCATAAGATTCTATTTATCCCCAGCTCTGATAACCAGTAAAAGCTGAATTTCTAATCTTAAGAAAATAGATAGGACTGCATCAAACTAAAGAGCTTCTGCACAGCAAAGGAAACAGTCACTACAGTCAAGAGACAGCCCACAGAATGGGAGAAAATTTTTACTAGCTACTCATCTAATAAGGGACTAATATCCAGAATCTACAGGGAGCTCAAAAAACTCAGCCCACAAAGAATCAACACTCCAATGAAGAAATGGGCACATGGCTTAAACAGGGAATTCTCAAAGGAAGAGGTACAAATGGCCAGTAAATACATGCAAAAGTGTTCAACTTCCCTGGTTATAAAAGAGATGCAAATCAAAACAACACTTAGATTTCATTTCACCCCAGTTAGAGTGGCCATAATCAAGGATAACAACAAATGCTAGTGAGGATGTGGTGAAACAGGAACTCTTATACACTGTTGGCGGGAATGCAAATTAGTACAACCATTATGGAAAGCAGTATGGAGATTCCTCAAAAAACTAAAGATAGAACTGCCATATGATCCAGTGACACTGCTCCTGGGCATCTACCCAAAAGAATGTAAAACAGGATACAATAGAGATATTTGTACACCAATGTCCATTGCAGCACTATTCACAATAGCCAAGCTTTGGAACAACCAGGTGCTCTACAACTGATGAATGGATCAAAAAAATATGGTATACATTGACAGTGGAGTAAACTAATGACATGTGGTTTGAAGGTAAATGGATACAATTGGAGGACATCATGTCAAGTGAAGTAAGCCAGAATCAGAAACACAAAAGCCACATTTTTCTCAAACATGGAAGATAGATCCAAGATAAACACATATACAAAAAAAAAAGTATGATCATATACAAACTTAGATGTAGAACAAGTTTGTAACAGTGGAACTATTTTTCTACAGATTGGGGAAAGAGGGAAAGGAAAAAAGAATGGTAGAGCATCAGTAATATTGCAAACCAAAGATGTGAAGGTAGAGGATATAAGGATGTTTATTGAAAGCTGTTGAAAAATGGGGACGGTAGACAAGAGGGTAAGGGAGAGTAATGGAAAGGGGAGAAGGGACCAAAGTAAAGTATTCCCACAGAGGGCATGCATTGAGACACCCTCTAGGACATCAACTTAAATGTTAATAATGAAAACCAAGAGTGTACAATAGGTACAGTGTGTGTGTGTGTGTGTGTGTGTGTGTGTGTGTGTGTGTGTGTATAGGGAGGGTACTACTGGGAGAAGGGAGAGTAAAGGAAGGAGATTAAGGTGACAGTATACGGCAGATGGACTTATACATATACCTATATGAAAGAGAACTAAGAAACCTTTTGCAATGCTTTAAGTGGGGTGGGGAGGGGCCTGAGGGGGAGAGACGATGGGAGCAATGTAAATAATATACAATATAAGTCTAACCAGAATTGTCACTATGAATCCCTCTTGTATAATGAATATTTCCTAATAAAAATTTATTTAAAAAAAGAAAAATAGGTGCACATGATAACTCCAGTTATGAAATTCAGTCTACGATATTTCATTAATATCCTATATATCCTGGTAAACAGCTTTCCTGGTTGCCTAGGAGGTCGGAAGATATCCATAATAGGATATACACGAATTAAACTGAATTTTCCAGTTCTATTTCAGAAAAAGTCTTTGGATCAAAGGAAACTGGAACTCTAAAAGCACATGCCACTGATTAATCTTGTCAACTAATAACTGTCTCAGCTAACAATGTAAACATGCTTAAAAGACAAACAGATCGTGCATGATGTGAGAGCTTTCCTGGCACCATTAAGGAACCAAATTCTAAGCTGGGTACCAGTGGCTCACACCTGTAATCCTAGCTACTCAGGAGTCAGAGATCAGGAGAATCGTGGTTTGAAGCCAGCCCAGGCAAATAGTTTGTGAAACCCTTCACAAAAAAGTGGCTCAAGGTGTAAGCCCAAGTACCATAAATCTAAAATAAAATAAATCTAAACTTTAACCCCTCTTCTTTGTTCAAACTGGAAAAATCTTTACTTTTTAACTCAGAAAGAAGGGACACTTTCTGTAGACGGTAGAATATACTGAAAATAGGTATGTCTTAGGTCATACAGAATAAGATGAACATGCTAAGTTGTTGCAATTTACCTGAGAAGCATAACCAAATTTTATATTTGTAGACACAGAAAACTGAGTCAGGAGGAAAATCATGGGTGCTATAGCCATAGAAAGTACACATAAGCACATTTGCTACCTGTTGCTGTGTTCAAAGCTATGTCCTTGCAAAGAGGACTCAATTTTTATGTAAAAAAGAAAGTTCTTGAATTAAAGCATCTGATAAACACACACATTATCTCTGTATGTGTAGTTCAGTTAGACTAAGTTAGTGTAGGATAGATGACTGCAATACCAGCTGGATTCCAAGTCTTCTTCGTCTCACGTGCCTCCTACTAGATGCACAAAATTCAGTACAGGGGCTTTTGTCAACTGAGTGAACGTGCACAGTCTGAAAAGCTTATCCTATTCCTCCTAGTTGATGCCTCATAAAATGCTTTACAGATGTGTTTTACCTAAATCCCAGAAAAAAAACCTGTGGGTTTAAGGATAAAAACATAAGGTTCAAGAAGGATGTGTAACTTGTCTAAGACAGCTAGGAAGGGCAAAGCTGGATCCTAGTTCACAACTGACTTCAAAACCCATAGCATTCCCCCTTTAAAATATATGTTCAGTCTTCAAAACCCACAACCTATATTCTTTTGGTATATGCATATATACATCCTTATCTATGTATGTATGCTCATTACGCCTCACCCCTAACCAGGGAGATGGAGCAATGCTCAGAAAGACTGACAATTTGCTGCTTAAGTCAAAGGCAGATAACATATACA